TTACTTTCCCTTAAAAATTTTTTAATAAAGTATGGAGTTTTAAAAAAAAATTGTGGTGTAGTTGGTTATCACATCTATCTAACACACAGAAGGTCTCCAGTTTGAATCTGGACAAAGGCATATTTCTCAGATTTTTTACATTACAAATATAGAATAAATCACATGACTTTATTCTTTCTAATTAATAAATCTCGCTATAATATTGATCCTTATAGGATCATGAGCAATACTTTTGTTTATTTGAGCTACGGATCATGTTTAACTCCAAGAGTGCCTATTGATATTTCACTTCAAACCTTCTCAATTGGGTTTTCTATATGAAAGCAGCTACAGATCATTAAGGAAAGTTGAGGGGCTTACATAAACCTAATTTTGTGGCCTAGATATAAGCCCCAGTTAATCGTAAAAATCAGATAAATCTTACACATGTTGAGTCATCTGGGATCCCAATTTTAATTAGGGTTAGGTAAATAGTTTTTGAGGGTCCAAGGTAGTTGACCGTTTTTCTGAAACAAGAGGGTGATTGTAATATGAGCCAAACATCCAAAGTGGATTTTAACTTTTTAAATGGAACTGGCCAACTTATACTGTTTAGTGGGGATCGACCAAACCATCCAAAAGAACTGTGAACTTGAGGGTAGAGGGGTCTTGATGGAAGGTTAATATTTTATTCAAAGATGGCGGTAAAACAGTACAAACTATATTTTAAATTTTATTCGAGGTGGGCCGACCTGGGGACGATACCGCACCGATTAAGGGGAAAATCGAATGAATTGGAAAAGAGGATAAAATCCGGAAAACCTCCATGCGTGGCGTATGATAGGCCAGGAACTCCGTGGACCGCCTTTGCTATTCTCTATCTCAGTTCGGGGCATTGGTGCGCAACGCCAACACAGTCATAATCGTCCCCTACCCAAAGTTCCTGTACCGGAATCGAACTCGGGAAGGCAGCGGTAGAGGTCACTACCACTGGGGTATCCTCCCCTAACAGTTCAAACTATAAATATATAAAGTTAGCTGACGTTTAAGCTTGACGATGCTTTTATAACTTTGGCTAATAAAAAAGTCGTTTTGAGGTTAATAAATTTAGTTCAAGTTAATAGGATTAGACTTGATGACATCAACTTCAGAATTTAACCCTTGCGTTTGGTACCCATCATAAGGGTTAAAGTTTGGTGGTGTAGTTGATCTTGTTAAATCAATACTTTCCTTATTATAATCCAAGCGAAAAGTGGTGGAGAAAAATCAGATATCAGATTGATTAGCTGATACTAGATTGGGGTTTAGATTGACAGTTTTTATAAAAAGAGTATGGTTAAGATACTTTCTAGGGTAGTGGGCTGGGCTATAAGGTGTATTTGAAGATGGGCAATTTTGCTTAAGGGGGATATGTTAATATCTTCATGTAGCTTAAATGGAAGTGCAATTTCTGACAGTTTCCATCTTAACAGGGAATTAAAAGTTCATCCCAATTGGCAAATTAAACCTTATGACCAAGTATCCAAAAGTTTGGTTTCTCAAGTTAAACTGAATCTGACGCCAGCAGTTTCTGATCAAGTTTAGATTTTAAATCTAATTAGGGGTTTTGAAGGTGGTTGATATTCTATAGCTAAGCTATGGACAGTTATATATGAATTTCAGTTACAAAAATCAAGAAATTGTGAATGCTTAATAAAACCCTTTTTGAAGTTGGCGCCATCTTCCAACCCGGCTTAGAATTTTGCTCCAAAATACAAATTAAAGCTTATATTGGATTAGGCCCAAGTGTAAACTATAAGCCACTTAAAGTATGCAGTTTAAGTATACATATTATAAATGGCTATTATAAGATGGTTTAAAATATGGCACTGGCTTCAGAGTGGGTTTTATTGCGTATTCATAATTTCTCGATTATTTTATACTTTTTAGAGCCTTTTTTTAATGGAGGTTCTTTTTTCCCAAATTTTTTTATTAATTTTTATAACGTATAAATACCTACATCAAATATAACTAACCATTTATTTTAATTTCATAGTGAACCGAGTTCGATTCCGGTAGATGAACTTTGCGTAGGGGATGACTATGGGTTGGCATTGCGTACCAATGACCCGAACTGAGATAGCGAATAGCAAGGTGGTTCATGGAGTTCCTGGCCTATCAGAACGCCGCGCATGGATGTTTTCCAGGTTTTGTCCTCCATTCCTATTAATTTGATTTCTCCTTAATTGGTACAGTATTATCTCCAGGTTGGCCCACCTCAAATAAAAATTTAAAAATTCAATTTCATACTGAAGGGAGAATGAGTTTTGTCATTATTATAATTTAATAAAGTTATATAAGTCTTTGTGGTAATAGCTTTTTCTCTCTCGCAAATATCACTTTTTATTACAAAAAGTGAATTGAACAAGAATTGAGAGAGCAATCAACTGCCATAATGCACTGCAATTTTATAGAGCAGTGAACAAAGGCTAACCAACCAAGCGTAGGGAAGTCTAGCCACCTGTCTGTGCACAGCACATAGAAATGGATAACTTGCCCACGCCGATAGTGAGTTTTATTAAGAATAATACCAAGGTTGCTGAGATGGATGAACCATCTGCTGACCTTCCCACTGGCCCAAGCCCTGACATGACTAGAAATGGGGCTGAGTATTCCACCATGTACATGCCAAGTAACAAACTGGTGACACAAACAACAATGAAATGAACAAATGCATCAACGGGTCATGGAGCCCTAATGAATAGCGCGAATGATGGAGTTGACTCCCTAATATTGATGCCCACTGACACCCAGATGACAAGTGTAACCTTCTGGGAGTAAGGCCTGATGCCAAGAACAGCAGAGGTGGAAATATTTCCCAGTGAACCTCAACCAGCAGGGGGAACTGGGGCCTCATAGGATGACAAAATTCTTGCCAATAATGCAAAAAACCTGGATGAGGTATTGGTAGGATCCGAAAACTGACTCAGATTCAAATAACAAAAATCAGCAATTCAAACCAATGGAGTCAAGCATTAAAAAGCTTTCTTCCAACATGGAGAAACTTACCAAATCAGCTCAGGGTATTTGGATGAAGAACAAGTTGGATGCCAATCCTGAAACAGCCCAGTTGGGGGGGCGAATGGTCCCCAACCAAAATCAATTTGGTAGCATGAGTAACTCATTGGGCAGAATACCCAATATACAGTCAAGCACAATCCCTAATGAAGGTATTTCAACAGGGGGCCATAGCTTGACAATATATTGACAGCAAATCCTGATTATCCAATCACCAAACCAAGCTGATCCATTGAGGACCAACCAAAGTGGGGGTGACTCTATATCAGGGACCAAATCTGAGGGATTGGACACCCAAGAGGGATCAGCAAAAAAACTTAAAGTATTACTGGAAAGGGCTAAAACACCAACAGCGGTCAAGTTGGTGGCCAGGGCCTGGTAAAGTACACCCAATTCAGTCCAAACATGTTGGCACACCAAGGCATGTCCACTCATGAGGTCAAACAATGGGAGGCCCTCCAGTTCCCATACTCTACGGTGACTCAGTGGGTCTCCAAAGGTATCAAACCAGCCATCATGGCTATGTGGTGAGACCACAAATTTTCCACTGGAGTGGCCAAATTCTGGCTCAACACCCAAATCTTGATTGATATGGTGGTACAATTCAAGGCATCCTGAGTTTGAACCAAAGATGCCCTGGAGTGGATGAAAATCCCCATGGACTACAAGGTGATAGAGGCCACCATCCACAAAGATTTAAAACTGGTGGATGCAAAAGCCTGGATGGAGGCCAGCATTGACCTATTAAATGTGATGGAATACAATAAGACAGGCATTATGGCACGTTACACCCAAGCTGTCAGGAGCTTGGGCCTCAACCCAACAAATTTAGCTAAATATGCTAGACATTTTCCAAATACATCTACAGCCCTCAAATGGGCCAGACACTCCATTCCGGTGGACATGGCACTGGAATGGTACAACACTACCTTCTCCCCAGAGGAAGCACTACCATGGATCAAGGCTGGGTTCAAGGCAACTGAGGCCTTACACTAGTTGTATACCTATATTCCACCTGCCACTGCATCAGACCTGATGAAAGCGGGCTGGACAAAGGAAAAGGCAGTGGAATGGGGACCCTTCCAGAATTATTCACTGAAAGAGGCTATCAACTGGTCCACCAACAAATTTACACCAATGGAGATGAAATACTGGTTCCGAGTGGGGGCCAGTATGGACCTAGTGCGTGAATGGGCAGAACTGGGGGTGACCAAGCTGAAACAAAACCCTCAAAGGCCTCCCATTTCTGATCGCAAAGTGGAAAATCTGGCACAATGCTGCAACACTCACTGAGGCTGCAAACTGGGATGCAGCGGGGTTCACCCCCTAATCAGCCCAATTGTGGATGGAGCATGAGATCTCGCCACAGGCAGCAACAGCAATGAAAGGGGTCATGACCCCAGACTTGGGCTGAGAATGGCTCAAAGCGGGGATCTGCATCAAAACTATCTGGGATTGGAAGCAATCCTTCCTGGAACCAATGATAGCTGCCTCATATGCTGCCAAAGGCTTCACCCCCTCAGAAGCATTTCAATGGTGTGAAGCGGGGGTTCTGGCAGACATGGCATGGGTATTCACAGATGGGGGCTGAAGCAGCATTACTGTAAGGGACTGGTGTCAATGTAGCTCGATTATGCTGGAGGTCCTCCAACAGTACCTCCACCCAATGTGTGGCCCGGAATCCGCTCTCAAATGGTACTGACTGGGGTTCTCACCAGCGGATGCCCAATAGTGGCAGAGCCTGGAGATTGGAGCACAAATGGCTAAAATATCAACCACTGTGGTATCAACAGTTGCCAACTCAAAGTGTTCCTCAGCCAGGGTTTCAGCCTTGACAAATCAGTAAGTTGGATTCTGAAAGGAAAGACCCCCGCTGATGTACCCAAGCCAAGCATGAAATCAAAATCATACAGCACAGCAGCAGCGCATACTGAGGACAACACCAAGAATGGAGCAGGGAGCCACATCAAATACATCCATCAATTGATCAGCGGGGGCTTTAAAGATCGCCAGGCACCAAAATCATACCTTAAAGATGCTATCTGAGTCCACCTACAACTAGTGGAGGAGGAAGGATGGTCCAA